TTTAAATATCCAAACCCCTGTAATACCGTTTGGGGCCAGCCCCTTATTCAATTCACATACCAAAAAAAATGAGCAAATCCGTTTTGAACCTGAACTGACTAATGGCACCAAAATCTTCCATTTTTGCCAAAAATTGCCGTCGGCCCTGCGAAAGTACGTCGACTGGCGTGCCTCCAAAAAGAGACGTTCAAACCTCTCCAATACAGCTAACAACTACACCCAAGTTTCAAACATGTTGTTATCGTTGCCGTAGCAAAATCGTTGCACCGGCAAGGACGGACGGACGACGGACGTACGCACGCACGACAAAACCATGGCATAGCCTCACCTGGACATAACAAGTGCCGCATAGCGACAGCGCCTCATCTAAACGTCTACTGCGGTTGACTCTGTGGTGGAGTGGTGAGGAGCATTCTAGTAAACCTGTTAGTCCCAAAATGTGTCTCACCATGACATGCCGAAATAAGTGCCGAATGCACAGAGATTGGTATCAGGAACCTTCTCAAAGAATGTCGTTGCGGATCGTTATGAAAGTTTGCCACGAGATGGCGTGTACCGTGGAAGTGTCTTCAGGATTTAAAGATGGAAGCGCCCATCATTTCGTAGTGAGGCAACAACTATTGCAAGACAGATCTAGTAAGCACTCATCCATTTACCTACGCCACGCCCATTCTACAGGCCTGCAAAGTTTGCAATAGAGAGCTGCCCCACCTGTAACCAATCTCAATTGCAGGCAAAAACTGCCCCAACACATGCACAGCCACTGGCCAGTGGATACGTGACATGTAACATTACTGACAGTACAGAATTGACATAGAAATTATCACTGATTTAAGGAATTATAACACCTTCTTAACCAAAATATTACGCTTTTTGAAATTTCACCTGTACATTGTAGCCTCATACATCCAGGCCATGTATAGATCTCTACTAGCAAACCCCGGCATCAAATTCTTCTAACAGACAGTCAACAAACTCCATTGTTAAACCCTCCTCTTGGGTAGGGCGAGCGGGTGAGCGGTAGGGCGGAGGGGGGGGGAAGGGGTGGGGGAGGGGGGTGGCGAGGGGAAGGGGGAGGGTGGGGGGGAGGGGCGCTCTAATAGCAAAAGCCAGTTCACTCTTTTGTTAACAGTCCACAGAATCCAGTTGAACCCTCCGCCTTGAGGCGTCAAAAGGGGTGATCCGGACACTTACTTTTCTTCGCATGTCAGCAACAGGGACATTTCATGCGTCACTGCAATAAAAGCCATATAAAATGCTAGGTCACCGCTGAAACAAAAAAGTTTTTCAATCCTCCGCTTTGCAGACCAATGGTCCTCAGAAAATGTCTAAAATCTTGCGCCTCGTTGCCCATTGACCTTTGACCTTGTGACCGTCCAATTTCGGCACGGTGATGGCTTTTCCTACCATGATGCTACTATCACCACTGATCACGAGCCTAGGTCGAGCCGTTTTAGAAATGTGTGCCGCCCATTCTTGCATTCCTCCCTTATACCTTAGAGTTAAGGAGGTAGAATGTTTCCCCCCTTCTTTTACACCTCTGCACCTTTGACCTTTGACCCCAGCTTCGGACAGCGACAGCCCAACTCGTTTTGACGATCCCCCCCAATGTGCCGAATATCGTGACCGTACGTCGAGCGGTTAAGATTTGTGCCCAACTGTTGACGCACGCACGGACGGACGGACGCACGGACGGACGATCAAGCGATTCTACAAGCTGCATCTGACTATGTCAGATGAGCTAAAAATGCACTAGCACTATCAATCTCTTAGATAAGCCCAGCACTATCTCGGCCACCATTCACGTCCGTAAGCTACGATACACGACACATGTTAGAAACAGTCAAGGTCTACACACCATCTTTCGCTTCTTCCTGTCACGGCCGGTCGGTACTTCAAACACGGCAAAGCACAGCTTGGTTATTCTCGGTAGGTGCCGTACCTGTAAAGGTAACAGATGAGATCACGAACATTAACACCTCACCGTCACCACCACCGCTACCAGCGGTTCGTCCCCACTGACCACCTTACTATACAATACACCCATGCACAACAGAAATAAAATATACACTTAGGTTATAATTGTAAGTAACCCGAAAATAAATGATTTATTATTCTACATCTAATATTTCTATCAATCTCCAATTTATTTCTTGAACATTTTGCCCTCTTAGGAGTTAAGAATTGAACGCCTGCTCAGCCTACAGTCCTGGCAACGGTAGGGTAATGGAAGACAGGTCCTACAGTAACATGTAGATTCACACGACCCACGCGATAGTGCCGTCCTCCGTACCTCTATGTCAAACACGATGTCCTCATTGAAGTGAGCGGAGTCGTTGAAGACGTGTACCTCTCGTGAGTAGACGTTCTCACACAGACTCTCCCGGCCGTGGTACAGTCCAGCCAGCAGCTGAACCTACAGTGAAGCGTACAGACCCCGTTAACCTCAGCCTATCCCAAATGTCTCGCTGTGCAGTCTAACTAGTGCAAAGTTGGTGTGAGAAAGGTTGCAAAGGTGGTTGCAAAAATATAAAAAAAGATATTCAACATCGATATATATATACATATATTGTCAAACTCTAGTAAGATATAAATCAATATTGTTTAATTACTAAGTGACAAGGGTAAAAAGTTACTTAAAATGATACCATCCCTGTAAACAGTACTAACATTTTTCTACTTTACAATTATTTTATATATTAACGCCGTATGTAAAGATGTTTAGAGATTTTTGACGGTTAGTCGGACAAACAGACATTCGCACACTTGCCTCATAATGCTAACTGTATCGCGAAAAAGTTTTTCACTGTTTTTTTAGTTTGTTAAATTGCTACACTCGATACTTATATAATATTGCTTGATCAGAGGAAACAGTAGCAGCTTACATAATATGACGAGCACTTTGGGTCTCCAAAACAATTTAAAACTCCCCAGTAGTTTTGGTATTTTAGTTTTAAAGAAAATTTTGTGGCTAAGAATTTGAAAACGTATTTAGTGCTTTGAGTGACTATACAAATTAATAAACATCTCATAAAATGTATGATGTAGCCAGTTAACGAATTACACCAGAGAATTATTCGTAATTATAACAAATTAATGATTACTCGAATTTCTTGTGGGAATGTTTCTACAGGTTCAAAAGCAATGAAAATTGTGAGAACTGCTGCCTTCGCACGTGTACGGAAGTAGAAGTAGCTAGTGCACTCACACCATCCTGTCACTCCACCACATACTCTCACTCTCCATTCCCGGCGTCTGAGCGGGGATCCCTTCCTGCACAAACATCCTATATCCCAAACAGCCACACCAACTTCCTGTTCGGCGGTAAACAGGAAACAGTGCTATCAGCTGCACGTGGACCGTTGAACGGTCCTGTTCTGATACACTAACGCTCTAGCTGTTGTAATCCATTCACTAGTATTCACTCACATATAGCTCATGAAGAATTTTTGCATTTGTAAATGAATGTCATTACGCATTGATGACAGCATCTGCTCACTTCTAACCAGGGACTATAACCAATAAATGATCGATGGATGGATGAATGAATGGCTGGAGAGGTGGGTGGTGTATGGATAGATGAATGGGTGAATGGATGAACGAATAGATGGATGGATGGATTGATTGATGGATAGACGGACGGATGGACAGACAGAAGGACAGACAGATGACTGGACGGATGGATGGATCTATAAATAAATGAGAAGAATGTAAACTCATCAAAAACATTATCACAATATATTACAGATTTCAAACGAAATTCCCAAGTGGGTCAAGCCGCATAACTAGCAAAATGTGTGTCTGCTAATTTCAAAGCCTGATGCTTCACACACAAAATCACATGGCTGGTAAATCGATGCTATAATCTTGAACGGCTCCTCACAACTAACCACCACAGCAACCGTGGCAGTCACCGACCATGCTAACCACCACAGCAACCGTGGCAGTCACCGACCATGCTAACCACCACAGCAACCGTGGCAGTCACCGACCATGCTAACCACCACAGCAACCGTGGCAGGTCAGCCGACCATGCTAACCACCGACAGCAACCGTGGGCAGTCACCGACCATGCTAACCATCACAGCAACCGTGGCAGTCATCCGACCATGCTAACCACCACGGCAACCGTGGCAGTCACCGCACCATGCACACCACCACAAGCAACCGTGGCAGTCACCGACCATGCTAACCACACCACCACAGGCAACCGTGGCAGTCACCGACCATGCTAACCGCGGCAGCAACCGTGGCAGTCACCGACCATGCTAACCACCACAGCAACCGTGGCAGGCAGTCACCGACCATGCTAACCACCACAGCAACCGTGGCAGTCACCGACCATGCTAACCATCACAGCAACCGTGGCAGTCACCGACCATGCTAACCACCACAGCAACCGTGGCAGTCGCCGACCATGCTAACCACCACAGCAACCGTGGCAGTCGCCGACCATGCTATGCACACCAGCACTCCACCAGCAATTTCTGAATCCCAGAGTTCATATCTCAGAGGGGTAGCAACACGCACACAGCACAAGGGCTAATCGGGAGATAAAATGCTAGACGCGCGTGTCCTTCAACGAAACATCGCCGGCAGAAAAAACATGTTGAGTGATACCAGCAAACATCCTCTCGCTCCCAACGATGACTCCCATGGTAACAGATTTTAAAATGAGCACTGCGGCTTTTATAAGGACAAATCGCGCTGGGGAGTATCTATACATTACAGCTAATAACAAAGGCAAAGTTCCCCCCCCCACTACGTCAGAGCCCGACAAAACACTAACGCTACACAAGAAATAAACACATTAAAAAAAGAGCCAATATTACTACGACTACTACTGCTACTGCCACTACCACTACCACTAGCACTACTATTGCTACTATTACCATTACTATTAGTATTACTACTACTATTACTGTTAATATTAATATTATTATTAATATTATTGAGGATGATGAGAATGCTGCTCACCGAACTGCCTGTTGTGTGACTGTCGGAATCCTCCAGTCGTTGCACGTTGAGGTTTAGTATCTGATGCACGGTTATGTGGAACTTATCGGTGATGTCCCACAGACAGAACGACGGTGGCTGCTCCCGCTGAACGTTCTGCGGCGGGTGCGGTTTCAACACTATGTCCTCAATGCCATATATGTCCTCTTCTTCATTCCCTGCAAACGCCGCTGAGTGTGAAATAAGCGCACAATACCAACAGAGCAGCAGTTCCGAGAACGCGACTTAATCCCTTAGTGTGATAAATAGGCAGCGTAAGCCAATCAATGTAATGATGGGATGTTCTAAAAACAATGCTTGGCAATGAAGTGCCATATAATAGACATTTTCGCCTGCAAGTGTTACTGTTACTGTTAAGAAGGAATAAACTTGACGGACCTAGCAACAAGATTCCAGTGGGGTGTAGTTACCTCACCCCCAGACTGATGGGTCAATTACTCCACAGCTGCACATCCCACGGCCTAATCATTCTAATTATTAATCACATCAATTAATTACTAATCATTTCTATATAGCCATCTACCTCGTTGCCTTCCTTCCTTCCTGTTCTCACCTGGCTGCCAATCTATCTCCCTGCACATCTTGCTACCAACCTGGCTGCATATATGTCTACGTCTGCTTATTCAACAAATTGTGAAGGTAAAACAGGGTAATTTAACAGAAGAAAGCAACTGACCCCAGAGACTCTGCATTTCAACCATGACGAGTTGGGGAGTTTCACTGGAGTTTGTCTTATTGTAGATGTACTAGAAGCCAAAAATAACAAGATATATACACACACATAGTACACAACACATGCATATATAACGAAGAAGTACAATACATATACATAGCCAGATAATTATGCGTGTGCATGTGTGCGTGCCTGCATGCACTGTGTGGCATGCATGCGTGTGCCATGCATGTGTGTGGCATGCATGTGTGAGGCATGTGTGTGTGTGGGGGGATAGTTACATGTGCATGCGGGCGCAGGTATTTGCTACTTCCTAATTAAAATCCTAGAGATTCAAACAGCCATCAAGCAAGATTAAAATCACCACAGGAATCATGCCGAAAACAAACCGACCGCAGCGGTTCGATTCGACACAACCTTCATTTTGTCAGTGAGACGACCGACGACCGTCGGCCATCTTACCTTGTACTCCCACAGCTCACACTCTCTCACGAGATACTCGCGCCGCCCTGAGACACGGAGAACGAAGCTGTACGCATCACCCAGCCGCTCTCCTAGCTTCTGCCGCTTGTCGATGGCGCACTGTATCAGCTGCCGTGGCATGCTGCTGCTGTCCACTTGAAAGACGAACGTCGATTGGGCCTCGCCGAATATTATCTGCACCTGCAAGTTTAGACGGTGTCGTGCGAGCGCGCGGGTATGTGGAAAAGCACGTGAGTGCACATGCGTGTGTGTGTGAGCGGGTGTGTGATTGTTAGTGTGTGTGTGTGCGTGCATGTGTGCATAATCGCAATTGTTAGTGCGTAAACTAGTATAATTGTTTGTGTGTGCACTTACTTGTGAATTGCTAATGCGTGCACGAATAAGACTGTTAGTGTGTGTGTGTGTGTGTGCATGTGTGCACGACTGTGATTGTTAGTGCACGCACTGGTACAATTGTTTAGTATACGTAGCATAGCATGCATTCAGCGTATGCATAGCAGCATGTGGGGGTATGATCACATGTGTGAGCATCCGTGCATGCTGAATATGTGAGCAACTACCTAACCTCAGCCGGCGATGCATGAGTGATCAACGACAGTTCACATATGACAGTTTAATTGACGTGCATCAGACCTCAGATCTCAGATGAAAATATTGAGCTTCAAATGAATTATGGGGGGGGGGAAAGCTGAGTTACTGGAGCTCACCCTGATGGGAGTCACAATCCGGGGCAGAGAGTCATCCAGCTCCGCGGGAAACTGTTGCCATAGCAACTCCAACTCATCCTGCGGTAAGAGTCAAAATGTCACTGATTACCAGAGTTACACTTAAAGAATAAATGAGAATTGGACGGGGACGTTTGTTGTCCTCTTTCGGCTTTTCCTCCTTGGACAATCACAAATTACTCAACTACAACTGCTAATAGTTCGTGAAGAACTTCACACGTTAATACGAACATAGACGAAGCAAACGCCTATCATGCTGTTTGCAGTCTGAATGTAATGAATACGGACGGACCTTCCTGTGTGAAGGAAGACGAACACACCTTCATGGTACGAGATCTTGCTATATTCTCGCAGAAATCCCGCATCTTCCAGCGAAAGTCGTCCATCTCGTCGCTGTGAAGTTGGTCAAACTCGTGCAGTCCTTTTCCGATGATGTTGCCGATCTTATTGTTTAACAGTCGCTCCGCTTTTGCCTCCTTATGCTCAATGACCTGAACGGGCAGATAATAATTTACACTCGATACCATCTACACATAAAGGTAACAAGTTCTCAATAAACAGACAAACAACCTAGATACAGATAAACTTCTTGAGCACAGGCAACGATATTTAATACCAAGTCATCGTGTGTTACCACAGGCTATCATCTATAATACGTAGTTGTTTTTAGCACATACTTCCACATTTAGTATGGCCATCTAGCATTAGCAAAGACAATCGCCTTTAGTAAAGACATTTAATATACGCTCACGCATGCACAAATAGGCAGACGGACTCACACACATGCGTACTTACCTTGAGTACAGACATGAAGGGTCGCACCTCGGACAGTCTCTGTGTTTCATCGACCAGCATCTCATGTTCTGCCTGCTGGTTGATGCAGGAGAAGATGTAGCTGCTCTTCTCCTGCAAGTCAATGTACAGTGGATGCCATCTCGCCTGCGACCACAGCTCCTGCAAGAACGCATGAGATACACGCATGAGATACAACTAACAAAGCTTACTTTATCCACCCACATGCGGCACAAAAACCATTAAGCACCTGTCGTGGCTGGACATAATTTATGACAAGGTAACACTACGTTAGTACATATGTTGACAGATTTACCAGATGACTTACCATCTTGATCTCACCAAGCGTAGCATCACTCTGTATTGCGAGCTTCACGTATATTCCAGTAGGTAAAAGACAGTCGACACAAACATGCCCAGAGTGAATAGCATCATGTTCCCACATGTTCCAATGAGCCTCGGCCGGTGCCATGGTAGCAATAAACTTGATATCCGATGCTTATGAGGTGACTTTTTCATAGCTGCATCCCTACATGCAGAATTGGCATATTATTCTCATATTATAACAAAACGTTGATTGTAATTTATAATTTTTTTATGATAATAAAATTTCATATATTTTCCTACCATTGTACATGCTAACATATCAGAGTGGGCTTTAGTTGTTCAGCAATTAGCACAGAACTTTAGCGAACAGCGTACTGTGTTGAGTAGCTCTAGAACTATAGCCCTTCGCTCTGCCGCAGGGAGAGGAGGGCGGAGCCACAGGCACTTGGAACGTCTCAAAAAAAAAAAATATGTAAACACAAAATGTATTTACTACCAAAGTCTTAATGTTTCTCTACTCTATTTCGCGTATTATTGCCGATAATTACCCGTAAATGTCGGTCAAATGCTCATCTGCAACACACAAGTACACCGCATACCCGCCCTGTGCACAAACAACATGAATAAGATAGCAGGTAGGAAATCGTGATCGCAAAATTCGCTTGACGCTCGCTTCATTTCACACCTTCACAGCACGAATACACATCCAACAGCTTCCATCTTGGTATCTATGTGTAGCTCGGATGATACGTCCTCTTTACATTTTCACGTTGAGAACATTGCCGGCTAGATTTCACGAGATATCTCTGGCGGGAATAAGTAAAAACAAAGGACAGAGTTATAATTTAAACAAGTGAACATTTAGCTACACATAGATACCAAGATGAAAGCTGTTGTTGGTGTATTTGGGCTGTAAAGGTGTGAAATGAAGCGAGCGTCGAGCCAATTTTGCGATCACGCTTTCCTACCTGCTTTCTTATTCATGTTGTTTGTGCACAGGGCGTGCGTGCGGTGCACTTGTGTGTTGCAGATGAGCATTTGACCGGCATTTACGGGTAATTATCGGCAATAATACGCGAAATAGAGTAGAGAAACATTAAGACTTTGGTGGTAAATACATTTCGTGTTTATTTACCATTATTTTTTTAATTGAGACGTTCCAAGTGCCTGTGGGCGGTGCGACGCGCGCAGCGAGCGGAAGGAGCGAAGCTTCCTTGTGTGGCAGAGCGAAGGGCTACCATAGTTGCAATAGTTGCAAATCCTCTATTTTACTTTTAGCAGCCAACTATTTTCGTGTGCAGGAAATTGTTCTATTACTATTAGTAATACTATTAGTATTACTATTACTATTAGTATTAAACGAAAGTCTAGATATTCAGCAGCCGGATATCCGCGCGAAGCGCGCCAACGCCGCTAGCGGCGCTCTAACACGTCTTTGCTGCCCCCTCCTTCACCTTACACGGTTTACATATATAACGCAAGCACCAACTTCGCTGAATTGAGCAGTTCTGGCCATTCGACGATCGGTTTGACTAACCATGCAGGGAGCTCGACATTTCTTAGAAATGCTTCCAATTCGAAGTTCGTTAATTGGCGCGCTTTCTTTG